TTCAGGTATTTTAAAGTGTTATTCGAAATAAAATAGTATTATATATTTCCTACCTTTCAAGATTTTTTAAGCGTTGCCGTTGCTGCATATTGGCATGCAGAGGTAAAGGCTTGCATTCAAGTATACTGAAAAGAGTGGCCAATCTTTTCACACAGCCAATGCTGTTACAAAATACTAATGTTCTTCCGTTGTGTCGTTTTAAAAAGTAATAAAGGTAATAATCCTTATGGTCAATTGTGCACGCTATTCGACATTCTGTTAAATTATCGGCAGTACCTAATAATATAGATTCGATTAAATAATAGCTAGTACACACAGAATTTCTATTAATGATAGATAATTAAAATGCATACCTGACTCTTTGGTAAGATCAACGACTTTAGGATTCTTTATTTTTAACAACTGTATAATTTTTTGCAATTTCTGGTCGGGAGTGAGTTTACATATTTTACTCCTAACGTATCGTTTCTTTTTTCTATCAAGATAATCCGGGAGATCATGCACCATAGTCAAAGTAGCCGAAAAAACAAATGTCTGCCGTTTTTTTAGCTTCGCTGGATTTGCATTTATCTTTTCCAGTATATCGTGCAATTCTTGAAAATGACCCTTTTCCATCATTCTATCTGTCTCATCAATAGCTAAATATCTAAATAATATAACATATTTTCTATAGTAATGTCTTGAAATAGATAATGGAATCACTTCTTACTAAATCCTTAAATTACCTGACAGAATCTATTTGATTGAGATGAGAGTTGCCTTCTTGAATCAATTCCCATAGTCTTCCAGGTGTAGCAATGACGATTTCGGGACCCTTGTTTAATATCCTTTCTTGCTTCACTGCTGCTACGCCTCCAAAGACAACAGCTATCTATGTAATAATATGAAACAATTAGAATTATAAACATAAATAAATTAATATATTAATACATAAACTATACTAGTCTGGACTTTTTGAAAAAGATAATCACACCTTAATATCTGTATATTTTGCTGCCTGAGTAAGATGATTCTTTATTTGAACTGCCAATTCACGAGTTGGTGTCAGGATTAAAGCATACAAGGGTTTAATTGGAATATTATGACAATCATCAAGCTTTACGTCATTCATAATATTCACGCAATTTTCAAACTCCGATAAGTCTTCATTTTCTGAATCACATTCTGAAAAATTAATATCTGTAATATATTTAAATTTTCAAAAGATTGATTATAGTTTTAGTGACACTTGAGTTTATAAAAACAAAAGAATAAATTCAAAAAAAAATATTACTGTACTACCTTTAGTTTCTTTTTCTGGCCAAATATGTTCTTCATTCTGAAGGCTCTTTAAATCCAAGATACCTTTTAAATCAAAAAGATGAAGATTAATCCGCCAATAATAATTTAAGACAGGAACCCTTTATTATAATCAGGGGGGGAGAAAAACGCAAAAATGGCGAACATACCTTTTATAATTGGAATACCAAATGCTAATGTCTTGCCGCTACCAGTTTCAGCAGCACCTAATATATCTCTGCGGCCTAATATGGCAGCTGGCAATGTCCGTGTTTGTATCATAGTGGGAGAATGAAAATTCTGATCGGATAGAGCTTTTATTACAGCAGTAGGTACACCCATGGCACTCCATGCTTCAACATTAATCTTCAAACTTTTACTACTGTCCGTGTTACAGTATAAGTCACTGTCAGGATTAGTTTGTTGATCAGTGATTTTTAAGTCTGCTGACTTTATTGTCTTCCCATCCTTTTTCTTTTTGCGTTTTGTTTCTTTCTTGGTCTTCAATTTCTTTGCAGAAGGTTCAGTACTGTCGACATTTTCCTCTTCTTGCTCTTTCAGACATTCGCGTTTTGATGCTGACTACAATACAAGATATAATTTTTATATAAATTTCAAGATGTTAAAAAATAAAAACTTACTTTCTTTTTCTCAGCAGACTTCACTTCTGTGGTTACGATTTTGCCTTTTTTGCTACTCCGCTCTAAGTTATAATCCGTCAACTCCTCTATTCCAATTAATCCTTCTATATCATTAGATAACAAAGTGCCTTCCAATGTTACAGGCTTCCAACCATTATTGGTAGCTCGTTTAACTTTTGTCATGATTGCAAAATATTTAATGCTATTGTTACATATGCATATATATATATATATATATATATATATATATATATATATATATTGTTGGCACAATTATTACTGCGTTTCTTGCAAAACAAATATTTACATGTGATCAAGAGATCCACTCACAGTGATTAGATAACCTCAATCAGACAAAACGTGGAGCTGACACGGTATAACCTGTGGCAGAGAAAAACCTGAGAGAGGACATTTCGGCCTTTTTCGTGTGTTGCTGTGTTGCATTTTCCGACGCGCCGCCTGAGAAAGTGCAACTCAACTATGTCGTATCGCTCGGTAACCGCACATGGTTTGCGTCCGTGCTAATGGTTCGTGTCCGAACTAGCCAGCTGGAGGGGATATTCTGTCCGCGGCGGCCGCGCTTCCATCTTGCGTATTCCAATTAATAACAAATTACGATAATTAAAATTACAAAATTAAGATTACATTCTTCAAAATCATTACGAATTTTGTATCTCATAATTTTGAAATATATAATCGTAATTTTATCATTTTAATTTTCAGATAAATGTCAAATTTTGCAAGCAAGAAGCTATTATTTGAGCGTTGATTCAAACCTTCACATTTATGTGAAATTTATAATAATTAACGATAATTTTTAAAATGTGAAATTCTATAGATAAAGAATAAACACCGTTATTATCTTAATCGTCTTCTGTTGATTTCGTATAATATATCCGGCATTAGTATCATACAATTTCAAATTTATTACACGTTTCCTTATAATTTCTTATTACAATAATTTTCTTATAAATAATGTTACATATGGAGGGGTAAAAGCCATAGTGGTGTAAGTCAAATTTTTTAAAATATTGTTTTGTATGCATAGATGCAATTTATATATTGTATAGATTGCATCTATGCACAAGAGTCAATATTTTAAAAAATTTGACTTATACCACTATGGCTTTTAACCCTCCATATAATTAACAGTACGAGTTACAAACAATCCCTTCGTGTTCCTACCTACCCTAAGTATAATATCTCTATGTATAATATGTATATATTCCCCGCCTATCCATATTTCTATATCTTCATATAGCTACCTAATATTTCATATTCTTACCATATTTTTATTTACCTAACGCGTTATTTCTGCCCACCCGAATTTATTAGTTTATTTAGTTTTATTATTATTAGTTTATTTTATCAATATTAATTAGTCGCAACCGCGATACCCGAAATTAAAGAAGTTTTTTAAAGGGAAAAAGATTTTTAAAGGGAGTTTAAAAAATTTTAAGTTCGCGATTAATTGAGATTAAGCTGGAGACGTCACTTTCCCGTCTCCGATTACGCGTTCCCATGTGTAAAAAATATTACCCTCCCTATATATGCACATTATACACTATAAATTGGTGGTGTTCAACACCAACCTACCTTGTGTAGATCTTCTCTCCTTTGACCAGTTTGACCATACCATTTCATGACCAAATCCATTCTGGCAAAGCCAGAAACAAGAAGAAGGAATACACCTTCCGTTGCCGCCTAATCATAGACGGCAGATGAGCGTAATGATTTTACGCTTTTTCTCACGATGCGCGAAACACGACCGCGTCGCGAAGAGCCATTTGTAATAAAATTAAATTAAGTAATTTTAAAATTACTAGCGTTCAAAATCTACTTAATATCGTATAAACTATAATTTACGCAAGTGATCATTTTCTCGATTAAGAACAAAAAAGATTTTAATTAGTTAGGAGCTGTTATTTGGAAAAAACCCGTTTTAATCAACCGCATATGTAATCCGAATAAATTCGACTACATTTTACGAATAATAGAAACTTTAATTTAAATCTGATATAAACATGCAAAACTTAAATAAAAATTCAAAATGTAAATGAATAACAATATTGACTAACGCAAACTGAAAAAATCTAAGACCCATTTTTTTCGATATCGTTTCGCATATCGAGTCTCAAAAGGATGAGAAATAAAGAATTAATGACGTGAGATCCGAAAGAGATAATCAAGTTCCTGCACAATATTGAGCTAATGTGAATACTTCCTCTCAGGCTGCTCGAGATGTCCATCGTGTTCCCTCGATGCGAAGCTGATGGTCCTTCCAGCGTCAATATTTTCTGTAACAAAAATAATCGAATCGATTAAATAATTGTCACGCGCATCGAACATCTTATTCATTATTCAGATTAATGTTTTCTTAAATTACTTCTCCAAAAAAGATCTCTACGTTAGAATCAACTTGAATCAAATTTTTCAAATTATTTCTTTTTATTAATTTATATTTCGAAACACGGTATAATGTAGCAACTAAATAAGGATAAACGAAAAAAGGAATTCTATAATATTTTTAGAAAAAATAACACTTACCAGAAGTGTTGGTACGTTGATGCCCGATGCCTATCCTAGGCCTCCTCCTCCTCTCAGGCTGCTCGGAATGTCAGCTACGCAGGATTCCCTCGCTGCTCCGATGTCACGTTCAGCGTCGTTATTTTCTAAAATATTCAAATAAACGATTCGATTAAGTAAAGACAGAAAAGATAGAAAATTTTTGGACATAAGTAACATAATACGTAAAAATCAATTACACTCACCACTTTCTTTCAGGCTGCTCTGGCCGCAAAATCCACCTCCACCTTTGGGTCAAATAGGAGTCTCGAGCCACATTGAGACTCGTGGCAATGCAAAGAAAAACCAAGAAGCCATTTCGGCTATATTGCATTAATTTTACGACGTTGTTGCAATATAGTCGAAATGTTTCTTGACCTTTCTCGCTTAATAGAAATGTAATTGCTGAAAGGAATTAAAAATTATTCTCTACCTTTTTTTTTTTTTTTTTTTTTACGTGGTGGAAATCTTCGAAAGACTCCCCCGCCCAGGGGTAGGGAGGGGGGGTGTCAGATTCTACGCGCACGCGTACCACCGTTACGAGGGGCGCTTCAGAGGACCGAAATCCCCTGAGCCTCCCTCAGCGTGGCATCGCGCGCCCATAGCCTACCGACTAAAACCACCACGAGCGACCCTGACCTAACTTTCTAAGGGTGGTGGGTGTCGATCCGCAGACACACGCACCGCGCGACGCTACGTCCTATAATCGCCTAACTTCCACCGGGTGTGGTGGGTGTCGATCCGCAGACATACACACCACGCGACGCGATGTCTTAAACGCTTAGCTTCGTAAGCGTAATGGAAGGATATTTAATAAGAAGAATAAAGGCTCTTCTCTCAGAATATGTTCAATTTCCTGATTTGACTTTATTATACTTAAAAATTACGTAGTAGTCGTCGTTAGCTTATTACCGAAACCATTGCTTCCGGGAACCGTGAAAAAAACTCGAAATTAATTTCGGCCCTGCAACGGAAACCTTTATATTCAACGAGGCACCAAACTAGGCGCCGCAGATGGGTCTTATAGAAACCGAAGAGAAATAACTCTACGATAAAGATCGTTACGACTCTCCATCGGAACAAACCGTGCATTTGCTAGCGTCCACCTGACGCGAGGGACAGCGGCCCTATCATCGAGGCAGCAATCGCGTCTATGAACGTGAAAATAACACGATGTTTGCATTAACTTTTTACGATTTAATATATGATCATTGTCACATCAAACCTTTTCACATTTTTATTCAATAAATTATATTACTTGTACTAATAGTGTGATAATTTCTAATACGAAATTTAGAATGAAAAATCTCCCGAATTTATTAACAATCATTTTATAAATTATAAAAATTACTAAAGTTTTAAAAAGTAAACCGTTTACTAAACGCGTCATGATTTCCGTCTTATTATACACATCCGATTACATTTACGCATTTTGATATACATCCCAGCAAACACAATGCAACATGTAACGTACAGGTTAGTTGTAATTTCCTACTCAACAATGTAAATGCAATATAACACGTGTGTTCTCCATAGACCCAGCTTTATACGCGATCAAAGATCCATAATTTTGATCGCATATAAAGCTAAGTCTAATCAACCGAATTTAAAAGAATTAAGTATGAAATAGGGGTAGAAAAGACTGAAAAATATAATAAAATTAGAAATAGATAGATATCTCCAAATTTGCGGAAGTTAATATGTTCAGAGTGTTCTAAAATGTCGAAGTATTGCATTAAAATCGCATGTCCGTACGTATATATGTGTATGTGCAGATTTGATGTCCGTGTTTACTCTGACTTCCGCAAATTCGAAGATATCGATCTATTTTTAATTTTATTATATTTCTCAGTCTTTTCTACCCTTATTTCATATATAATTTTTTAAGATTTGTTTGATTAGACCCAGCTTTATACGCGATCAAAGATCCATAACTTTGATCGCATATAAAGCTAAGTCTAATCAACCAAATTTAAAAGAATTATATATGAATTATATTTTTCAGTCTTTTCTACCCCTATTTCATATATAATTCTTATATATGCTAAGTAACGGAGCACCTCGCGAGGTAGAGGAGCACCTATCAAATAAGATATAGGTATACAGAATAAATGACGTGAGATCCGAAAAAAAGAAACTTCCCGCACGATTGATATTATAATTAATCAATAACCGCATTGTTATAATTAAATAATTAAATAATTAAATGATATATATGCAAATCTTTATTTTACGATTATCGATAATGTATCTCGTTATATTTTTCTGTCACTTTCTATCTAAATTATTTTTTATATAACGTAGTTATTTATTATTGCAAAACTGAATAATTGTACTATATCATCAGTTCTGAAATAATTTAAATTTTCAGTATCTCGACAGAATATTTAGAATCTCACGTCATATAACTTGACTTTATCTAGCATAAAGCCAATTTTTCAATTAAAAATAGATGAATAGGTTACAAAAAATTAGGGTAAAATCGATGCTTTGTTAAAATAAATTTTAGTAATAAATAACAATTTTATCACGTTTTCTATCTAATAAATTCTAAATATATCTATATATTGCTTTCTTGCATCGATTTATAAATATTTAATCTTGGTTAAATATATGGAAATGAATAAATGGGTAAGTATAAATAAAACACATCCTAACTCATAATTTTTCCCTATCTACAAATACTTTTTCTTATAACATCTAACTCTAACACAATATTTTACTTATCTCTTTTGTTTAAGAAAAAAATATATATATCAAGAGACACGGTAGTGTCTCGCGCCAAGTACACGCGGAGCGAGACCGACCGTGACTCTTTTACGCGACGCGACGGGTTGCGAGTACCCGAGATGTTGAGATCTCGATAACGAGTGAACGGATCAAGTTCTAAGTAGGCTTGATCGATAGCTTGGGGTCCAATTAGGGGGGGGTTTCTCTCATAATATTCCGCTACGTGCCCTACGAGCGGAGATATTGCGACGCAAAGTCCAAATGTGAAAATTTATTTTTAAGATACTCCTCCTCCTCCTCCTAACGCCGACGTTCTTGTATGATGACGTCATAATCAGAAACGTTACTTTCACTTTTTCGACGCTGGCGGCGCAGGTATCGCCAGTTTCGATATCGCGCGCGTATTTCGAAATTAGGTCGATAAACTTATCGGTCAGGAGTAAGATTTTTATTTAAATATTTTAGGTAAATTAGGTATATACTTATTATGCAACACGTGCATGGAAAGTGCCCCATTACGCACGCTACGCGTGCGTGATAGACCACTTTCCAGGCACTTGCAACATAAAATAGGGTGTGTAAGCCGTGCGTAAAGATGAAAATTCCCGGGTGCAGTTACCGCACTCGCCTTCGGCTCGTGCGTAAACTCCGCACCCGCGAATTTTCATCTTACGGCACTTGTTACACAAATAACTATATAATATATATTGAGTCAATTCCTTCATGTTTATCTGGAGAGATTTCGTATCCTTACATCGTATTACCACCGCTGCCGGAAAAGAAGGTTCTCTACGCTTGGCAGAAAGTGCCGCTAGGAAATTTTTAAGTCGATTCTTATGAATCAAGCTTGAATTCGATGTCTAAGGGTGAAGTCCCATGGAGCCAGCGTACGGCGTACCGGCGTACGGCGTAAAGAAGCTTGACCAATCACAGGCTTTACGCTCGTTTTCATTACGCCAGCACAGATGTTACGCTGGTTTTTCAAGCGTTCCAGCGTTTACGTTACATACACACACGCACACACATATGTACAGTAACTTGGATATTGCATCACATGTCTCTGATACTATTTTTGACACTGTATTGTGTCCTACACGAAATGCGTATGATACAGATACCATACTGTCTCCTGAAGATACATATCGCAAGCAAATTTGAAGGCGAGTGCGAGCAGAAATAGGCTCACGAATAACAAATTGTTTCTGTATACGTGGTGAAACCATCTGCAACAGTTTCTCAAACATTTCTGGTGTTACTCGAAAAAAATTAAAAAATTTTTCTGTGTCTTCGAACACCATTTCTTGCACCAGATTGTTGCTAGCCCCTTGTGCTAATCGTCTTTCGGCATTAAAGATTGGTCTAACCCAAAATCTTCGAACGTTACGTCTAATTCGTGCATCTCTTTTCTTCTCTTCGGCTCTCATTGAATCATAAATTATATATAGTTGAACTAATTTTCGTCGAATAGCTTCTTTGCATAAAGGACTTTCCGGACACTTGTAAATTTTCAAGTATTTTATTAAATTAATTAACGCAAACTCAGAGTCCAACATTTTGACGAGCTAGGTTATGCACATTTGTTTTGACTTCATGTATGAATGTGTGTGTTGAAATCACGCTGAAAATTTCATCGGCTGTCCCATGGGGCGCATTTACGCCGGCGTAATGATTGATAAGCCAATCACAAGACCCCTTGAGTATCCATTTTGAAAATAAGCTTTGTAAAAGGGAACAGTAATTGGCTTACTGATCTTTACGCCGCGTAAATACGCTCCATGGGACAGCCGATGTTTATACTGACGTAATGAAACAAGCGTAAAGCTTGTGATTGGCCAAGTTTCTTTACGCCGTACGCCGGTACGCCGTACGCTGGCTCCATGGGACTTCACCCTAAGTATCCCAGGTTGCCGATGACGAGGTCCAGATAGTGCGCTTCATAGTTTTCGGTGTCCAGGTGTAATAATACGTTGAATTCGATGTCTACGTGTCCCAGGTTGCCGATGACGAGGTTTACATAGTGCGCTCCGTAGTTTTCGGTGTTTACGTGTATTAATACCTTGAATTCGATGTCCACATGTCCCAGGTTGCCGATGACAAGATCCAGATAGTGCGCTTCATAGTTTTCGGTGTCCAGGTGTAATAATAC